CTTCATACTCACCGCTGTGAGAACCTCAAGTCTTACGAATTAATCACTGTTTACGCTGTGTATCATACAAAAGTCATACATACGTTTTATAAACTGCAGTGTTATTAATTGGTGTTAAAGTAGGAGGTACGTTTTATTCTCACTGGGATTTAAAGGATTTTAATAATGAAACAAACGGAAAGCGATTAAGACGAGACAGAGAAAGGAGAGGCAGCTGGATGGATAAATATGATACATAGACTCAGGGTATGTTTGTTAACTGAAAATAATTTTAACTTTTACCAATAACTGGAAAACTTGCCACCGCACTCGCTCTGCTTTCATTGTTAATATATCAACACTGTAATTCCTGTAAGTGCTTATTGGGAAAAATGTGTTTAAGGCAATGGAGTCAGGTGCTGTACTCACGCCTCCCTCAAAGAAAACTATACAATGGAAGTGGAGTGTCATTGCTTGTGATATTATACACCGCATTACCATCAAATCCACCCCACACGAAACGTGGCGACTGAGTCCTTAACACGAAATATTCCGTGTCCAAATCTAATTTTCACTTCCTGTTTCATAAAAACCGCAAGCCTTCGCTTCATTGTTTTTGTTTTTTGTTTTTTTGTTTTTGCTTCTCTGGTGACTATTTGCTTCACTCCATTTGTTATTGTTGGCTAATTGAAGTGCTGCTACTAAAGGCAAAAGACGAGAGGTAGATCCTACCAGCGATTAACTATGTGCTTTCCGACGTTCATGTGAATCAAGCCAGATGCGGATAGAATTTGGACCCATTTGGGGAAGATTCCACAAACTAAAAAAATTACTTTCTCTCTGTATTACTGTACCGTTTACTAATTATATCCCTCGTTATTAGTTTCTTTGTTCCTGTTTATGTTTAATCTGTATCTTCTTTCTTTTTCTCACGTTCTAATTTCCAGTCTTTCCTTCTTTTAGTTATTCTTTCATTTCTCCTTTATTTCTTACTTCCGTAGTCTACTCTTTTTTACATTCATTCTTCCTTTCTAACTTGTTTTGCTGTATTTCTTCCATTCCTTTCTTACAATAACCAATCAATCAGCGTGGAGATAAAGAAGTTGTGAGGAATAATAAATAATACACGGGCATGTCTCGTCACAGTCTCGCGTCTCCAACTTAGGTTTTCATGTCCCTCCATATAAATTTAAGAATCGTATTCCCATTAAAAACACTCATCTGTCATTTTTTAAATTTGTACACCCATTCGTAAACTTTCCTGTATCTCATACAGTTATCACCACACTGAACTGTCATTTTTACATAAATATCGTTGGTATTCACATCTGACCACAAACATTGTATCAGACATCGCTGGAAAATTACTGTTAAATGTCAATATATTATCACTATTCAGTTAATGAAAAAGAATTAGGTGTTAATTGGAGGGGAAAGATTCGTATTGTTTATATCCAACATCATTTTGAGTACTGCTATCATAACTTCTCAGGTAATTTCCCTTAAATGATAATTTTCTTCGTATATTCAACAGATAAAAACCCTTAATAGCGAAATTCTTAGTAGGGATAATGCATGACTATTGACGAAATGTATCTGCAGGGAATGATTAAAAAATTGTATCATTTAAATGCATTTTATAACTTATAAGCTAAAGTAATTTCCATTCCTATTTCACTGTTAAATTGTCCTTAATCTAGAGACAAGTGTTGTCATAAAGGAGTTAATTGTGTGAAAAACCACTTGCGTAATATTCAGTTGTGTCGCCGTGTTGGAGTAAATTTGCGGTATTTTTATTGAATGTAATAATTTATGCCGTAAATGTGTATTAAATACTAATGAAATCCATTCGGTGAAATTACGCTTAAGATATGTAGGGTTATATGTCTCTGCAGGTCTACTGAATTCCAGTTTTAATGAAATTGAAATCTGACTGAAATGGAAAGCGAAATTGAAAGTGACAGAAATGTGTGCGGTTTATGAGCTTTCATAGGAATTCGGTTGTTTCAAAGAGCGATAAAACGATAAAGCTATAATAAACAGAATAATAACACTGCACGTGGTTAGAATATATAACACCCAATGCACATTACCATTTAATATCGCTAAATATAACGCTCTTCAGAGGAATAACAGCAATATAATAATGGAATGCGGCTTTTGAAACTTTCTCATTGGAAGAACACATTAGAATAAACTTTGTAATTATCAACGTTTTGCTTCGTATTCCGGACATCTTGGACAAGGAAGAATCTTATGAAAAGTTTTTTGTGTTTAACTCATCTCTTGGATTTCGTCCATCGTCCCATTTTCTTTAAACCCACAACCGTGTGGGTAAAATTGGTCTCCAAATCTGACCCTATGTGAAAGATAAGTCTTCAAGTAATACTTTACAGAATACAGAGCAAGCAAATTTCAGAATATTTATGATTACAATTTTAGATCTTGTCGACGCTCTAGCTTGAGCGGAGAACCCCTTATGGACCTGTCTATGTCTATCTGTCGAGTTTTATGCAAAAATAGGGTCAAATAGTTTCTATTGTTGGAATATATTGTTACGCAACAATATTATTGGATTATATTAGTGCAAAAATGTCCCAAAATGCAACAATTAGCTCGTATCGTATTAGTGCAGTGTGAAACTAATATTAGACCTACTAACTTCATGGAGGAGAGTTCTCGACGAGAATTTGATACCGCTCAACTGATCCGGATAGAAATCCCTTTTACTGAACCCCGTGGTTCACACCATCACAACACTAAACCCTGCCCTGCTTAATCCAGCTAACAAGCTCAGTACCTTTTTTTAAAGGCCTGTCAGCTAGCTGTTGTCTCACCGTACAGTCTAGAAACAAATTACAGGGTTGATTTTTGTGCAACAGATAGTACCTGAATTCTAATTCTAGTCCCACGTGTGCATTATTTGTATGCTATGTGAAAGTATATTATGATTATTGTTACTTCTGACTAATGCTACCCCACCTTCCTGTTTAAGCATTTGAAGCCGAAGTTCAGGTAAATAATATTTAAGAATTCAGTCCGTAGCCCAAAAGACCAAAAGCTTTATGCTGTTTAAGGAAGTAATCCCTATTTACGGTAAGAATCGTGCAAAACCCATCAGTACAATATAGAATTTTTTGTTGTTTTAAGCAGGTACTTTGGGCTTTAACGAGTTAATGGCGGACTCAGACGACACAATACAACGTTACTACGCTTCCAATAAATTTTATGTGCAACAGAATTAATATATGATAAATCTGATTAAACTGCATGCCACTAAATGAACTTTGTCTTGGTTCAAATAAACACCATTACTCTGTACTTTACAAGATCCAATCTGAATTTCTTAACATACATCTCATTGAATTTTAAAGAAGTATTCTATGTGAGGTCTTTATCTTCTGGGATTCCTTCATCTGTCAATTCTATTTCGTTTCTGTTTGGAGATAGTGTACCCTCGCTTCGGATTGGATGACTACGTAATTTGACGTGTAAAACTGCTTTTAGATGCGCTTAATTTACTGAAGCACCGAATGTTAATTCAATGGAACAGACAGCTGAAAAGTGCGAATGGTGCATTTTAGAAGTGAAGGAGTGACAAGAATGATAAATGTATCCATAAAAATTACGTATTTGTTTTAAGAATTACTTAACGTTGCTGTGAGCCGTTCCGAAAATGTAGCATCAAATGATAGGATGATTAGTAAATATTAATAGTAAAGGAAACGGTTGAAGTAATGTAAGATCCTACCTCGATGATTGCTTGAAGGGACTGCGGTAAGTCATGGAAACGTCAGTTGTAAATGATCTGTAGGTAGAGATTAACCGATGACCCCTTGTGGATAAAAAATATACCCTCATATAAGCCTTCATTTAAATATGCAGGAAGTTATTGATGTGAGATTTAATAAATTTACGTGTGAATTTATTATATCTTCATGCCCTGCTGCAGTCCCCACAGGTCATCTTTGATTTTCTAACCCTGCAGATTACAAATTATGAAGATTTTAACCGTATCCTCTTGTTACTTCTTCTTTTTAGGGGAGGGGGTGTTTAAATATTCTCACCCAAAGCTTTCGAACAATTTGTTAATAGTAGCGCAGATGAAGGCACAAAAATGTTTTTGTATTTGATAGTACACGTTGAATTACAAAGAACGATCTGGGTTTTTGTCATTTAATTAAAATTTTGCATGGTGCCATATTCAAACCACCATCCACCCCCCCCCCCAGCATCTAACCTTTTAGTT